TTTCTTTTCATTGCCCTTGCTCAATGTTGATAAATGGAACATAGTGCAGGATATCCCTTTCAACATACAATCAGGACTGCTCCAGGAAGCCCCAGGACTCAAACCATGATGTAGTCTAATGACCTGCAGGCCATTTGAGAGGCCAAATATGTCTAAATTAGAAGTCAAAATGTTGATCCAGTGTAGGCTGAATTCCTGGGATTCTCATTTTTTCATAGCCTCCAGACCATGGGTGAGCTGCATCCCCTTTCCAATTACTACATCAGTGAGCAGCATAAACCATCAAAAATGAATAAGAAAATGTAACACTTTTAGCTAGAACCCATGGGAACAAAGTGTAATGATTTGCTGAGCCTTTTACAGCATACTCTCTGCTGTGCTGCCAGGGAGAAATGTACAGATCCTTAAATAAAAGTAAATAATAGATAATGTTTCAGATGATAGGCCTATAAATAGATGTCTGTCCTGGTTTATGACTTGAAATTTAATTTCGTGCACTCTACTCACTGCACCTAATTGCCATGTAGCAAGGTTTATGCTCCACACCCAGCTAGTATCAAAGTCACTTATTTCCATGGTTAACTTTTGAATAATTATCTATTCCTGTAATGCAATCTGCATACAGGAATTTTTGACATTTTTCAGTACTGTTCAGTGAGAATCTCATTTTCGTTCCTATGTGTACATGAAATGTTGGGGGAGCAAATTACATTTCTCAGTATGATTGACTCCTGTGGAGTTATTTGTCTAGGTATCAGCTTGAGGCTCTAAATGTTTGTTGGAAGCAAATTCCATTTAGATTTGCAATTTGTGAACCTAATTTTGTTGCAGTTCTAGAAAAAATTATTCATTTGAAATTAATATACACAGTCTACACAGTCATAAATGTTACTACTCAATAAATGAAACATTGGCATAAAAAATTACAATTATTTTCTTCTTTTTATAGCTTGCATTAATTTTTTTAATTTGTTTTTTTGTAGTTAAGGCTGTGGAGATTGCACTCAAGTCTTTTCTTTAGAGACAATCCTAAAGTATTTAATTGTGTTTTGTTTTTAAGCTGAGATTCTCACTAGTTCCTCTGACTGCAACAGATAGTGCATAAAATAGAATACCAGATAGCTGCAGGATTTCTAACAAAGGTCACAACAGTTAAGTGCACCTGGCATTAAGAAAACTCTGTATGCAAAGCTAGGAGGCTTAATGAAAACTGGGAGGCTTTATTCCACTTTAGCCAAAACAGATTACAAGAAGGTCATGAGGAAGGGCTGAGGAAACTACAAGCCTGTTAGTCTAAAATCAGTACCTGGAAAAATTATGGAGAGGATGACACTGGGTGCTAAAGAAAAGCATGTAAAGGACAAGGCAATCATCAGTTTTTTTGCTGGCAGCTCATTCACTGCAAGCTGACAGGTCATGTACACCTGATCCTCATATTTTATTTCCAGCCATTGTTAAATTAAGTACTGAACACAAAACCTGGCTTTGCCTTTTTTATGAAATAATGTTGTTTCAGTCCAACACATGAGTATCTGTTATAATTGATGAAAGGATAGTGGTGTATTTCTAGGATTCAGTTATTGAACTAATAAAAGAGTGAGATTTTTTTTAAAAAAACTGTTTGGTTGGGGTTTTTTATTAATTAAAAAGCTGAGAATATTCTTAGCAACCAGGGACACTGGAGCTGCTCTGTCCCAACATTGCAACAAGGTTACTTTTGATGTAGTTTTTTTTGATCAGTCTTGGCTTCTGTGTTAGGGTGAAGTGCCCTCCATCAACAAGGTTAGATGGAGCTGCATTGCTGGGGCATGTCTTGTGACTTTGTGTTCACTGCCCAATGTCACACAAGTAAACAGAGAGGGTTACAGAGCCCTCTGTTCCCGTTTCTTCCTCACCTGGGTAATAGGTGTTTTAATTACTCGCAGCCAATTAAACAAAATGTATCTCACTGTTGGAAAAAGCTAGTTTTACTTGTTAATTTTTTATTTGGATTTTGGATTTGAATTTATATTTTTGTCTTTCAAAGTACTGTTTTTTTCAAAGTAATTCTAATTTTTTTCTGAAAAGTTAGTTGGACTTACTAAATTTGAACCACATAAAGAATGTTGAATTCTTTTATCTCTTATGAACTACCTCTTCTGTATACTCCTCATTTTCCCTTGTCTTGAAAGTAATAGAAGTCAGTGTGTAGTGGTATTAATTGTGGTGCTATTAAAAAGTTCAGACCTTGAAGTCTTATTCTGCCAAACTCAAAAATAATGGATTTTTTTCCGGAACTTTGGTGGTCTGGGATTCCATAAATTATAATTTTTGTCCTCCAGAGAAAAGTGTAATTTGTGTCATGTCAGTGGGACTCAATAATAAGGTGAGCAAAGATCAATTGGCTCCTGCCAAGATGTGCAGTTAAATGTCATGAGTTTTCTTCTGTATAGAGAAGAAAATTATTTTCTATAATTTAAAGGCAACTTTTGTGCTTTTGTCTGATTGCTAATATTTGATTTATTCTTGACTGACATCACCATGATCCTAATTTAATATCTGAACATTAGTTCTATGCCGGTGTAAAACAGAACTTTTCTGTGTCTGAAAACAAGTAATCCTGCATTCGTGGTGTAAATGATGCCGTAAATCATGACAATACACACCAGAAGAAGCTGCTGGGCAGTGGCACAGCCTCAGGGATGAGCAGGCAGAGCTGGCAGCCAGGCTGGACCTGAGAGCCCAGCAGTGAAAGCAGAAATCCAGGAAGCAGGGCCCCAAGCTAGGGAAATCTGAACATCCTGTCTGGGTTTTCTAGGTAGCCCCACACGTGCAGGAATGTGGGATATGCTCAACAAAGTACAGCTCACTTGCTATCTCATCAAAGTAGGGAAAATGCAGTCTCAATTGCCATCAGAGGTACAGCGAGAACAATAGATCCTTCCTGTACAGAACTCAGCTGGGGAGAGATTTCTTGTTCCTGAGACAGTTTTCTGTTAGTCCATGTTAGTCTAATCTAAAGAACAGAAATAGATCTGTAACACCTGACAGAGGCGTTTCAAATATATAGGTTCCAAATATAAAATCTGGATTTTTGCCTTAGGTGCCTACATGAGCTAAATGTTTTTAATAGAGAGGAGCTCTTTAGTCAAGCAGATAAAAATATGGAAAGCAGCAATACTAAGAAAGTGAAGATAATTAAGTGTGGGCTGGGAGCATGAAGAGAGCAGCAGATTCTTTGCTTTTGAGTCCAAGGGCTTTCAAGAGTGGTGTTATGTAGGAAATCAGATTACGTGAGGGATGGTGAGAAAGTCTCCCTGTCTCTAAAGTAGCCTAGCTTTAAAGCAAGTTTATAAGTCACCTGAATTTAGTGGAGCTATTACAGCTGTAAATCTATCTACTCTTTAGGACTGTATTCCTAGTAATCTTTGGAAAATAATTTAGTAGACTCTTCTAACAAGAAAGACATTTCCTTCTTCAAAAGTTGCCTTCTCCTCACACCCTTTTGCTTTCTTTCCCCCTGAGAAATAAGGCATCCTATCACAGCAAGCAGTGCTTGCATTTCCCATGGGTCCTTTCCCTACCCAGCTCTGCATTAAGTAACTGCAAATTGTCAGTATGACAGAAATAGCTGTGCCTGCATCCAGTTAACTCAGAAATGAGTCATTGAATTGTAAGGAAAAGTGGAGCAAAATGCTGTGCCTGGGGAAAATATCCCACTGTGCCCTGTGTGGGTCTGTGTGTGGGTTTTATTCCCAGGTAAAGGATAGAGTAGTGCTATTCCCAAGGGAGGTCTCTGACTCACCTCCATTCCATGCTTGGGAAGCAGCTATAGGAGAAGCTGACAGTTAAATGGGGAAAATGGATTACAGCTATGGATTCCCCTGAAGAATTCCTTTTCTTTTAACCCATTTGCTGGGAGTAGGTACCACTCAAAAGCAGAGAATTTTGGCAGGCTATATATCTCAGTGCTGCTGTATAGTTGGCTGTTGCTAATAGCAAAGATCAAGAAAAAACTCGTGGAAAGAGCTGGACTGACATTGATCTATTCAGGTTTTTCTTCTTACAGGAGCAAAAGGAAGGGGACTGGAAAGCATATTGGAAAATATGGTTTTAAAATATGGTTTTAAAGCTCTTCAAACAAGTTCCTTCTGTCATAAGTCCTGGGAGTGGTAGCCAGTGTTTTGTCACACAGAATTTCAAGGAAGCTGCAAGGAGAACAAAACCATAGGAAATAACAAACCCCTCTTCATTGAGCTGTGACTAAGAAACTACCATGGAAAACCATACAGTTTTGAAGAGGGGCTTGGGTCCTAAAACTTGAAAAAGAGAGTGGAAATACCCTACAACCAGAATTTTAAAGCCTTTCTCTGCAAGATATAATGGGTTTATGACACCTAGGGCTTAATATTGACCTAAATCACTTTTAAACCTGATTGTGTAATATATATGTAAATAAAGTTGCAGCTTGCCATATCCCAGTCATGATGTGGTTGTCTGTTTTTTCCGTATATGAGTGATCAAAACTGAAGGTTCATCTAGCTGATGGGGAGAGCAAAAGAAGCAAAAGCTTCTTTCACTTTGGGACTCCCAGTCTTAAATATATGGCTTTTTTTTTTTCCCTGTAAAAGTCAATACACTATTTGAAAATGCTCATGGATTTTAAAAGTTGAATAGTTCTTATCAAAGGAATCTTTCACCATTTTATTATCTCAGATAGAAAATGGATTTCTCCATTTAGTAATACTAAAACAGATAAATCTGAAAACCTGACCAGAAGATGAATATCTGTCTAGTGTAAAAATCTTCCAATGTAAGATAAATCTGAGTTAAACAAAATTTGACAGGATGGACAGAGCAACCAGGAGCAGTGAGGATTAACACATAGAGGATAATGGAAATAGTTTTCACTGCTGCTTCAAATACATGATAACCAAAAAAAAAATCTGCTTTCTTGGGATTTGGAATGGATACATGCAAAATAATGGAAGTAAGCATTTCTATTGCTTGGTTCATTGCAGGTGTCGTGTCGCTGATCTCCCTGGCTGTGCTGTCCTACGAGCGCTACAGCACTCTCACCCTGTGCCACAAGCGCAGCCATGATTTCCGCAAGGCTCTGCTGGCAGTGGGTGGTTCTTGGATTTATTCCTTGGTCTGGACCGTGCCACCTCTGCTTGGCTGGAGCAGTTATGGGGTAGAAGGTGCAGGCACGAGCTGTTCAGTACGCTGGTCCTCAGAGTCGGCTGAGTCCACGTCCTACATCATCTGTCTGTTCATCTTCTGCTTGGCTGTCCCCGTGATGGTCATGATGTACTGCTACGGGCGCCTCCTGTACGCAGTCAAACAGGTAAGCAGCTGCCTGCTCTCATAGTGCAGACTGCTCTCAGGCAGGTTTTGCATTTCTATTTTATTTAATTTGGAAATTCTGGTGGTAGAGAGCAAATCAGCAAGCCAAAATGAAATTGAAAAGACCGCAGAAATCCTCAAAGAAGGAGCATGAGGTCTTCAACAATCTTAATTCTCCTGAAGCTCCAGTCAAAACAAAGAGATAACAGATACTGATTATACAGATTATACAGAAACAGATAACAGATGCTGATCAGTATCATGCAGCTACTGATTTTGTCATTGGCAATACTGTGGAAAACAGTATATAGGAAAAACAGCATATAAGAGTGAGGTTTGCATTTGTAATGAAGTAAAAATACAAGTTTACCTGTTTAGGAATTAGACACCCATGCAAATACTTCCTGGTTTTGGAGTTTAAAATTTAATAATTTCTGTTCCTTAATCTCTGGAATCTCAACTCTACAGTAATATAATTCTACTGTGATTTTTTGAATTATCCCAAGGATCGTCTTCTCCTTGTAATTCTAGGCCACATTTAAATTTTCCTTCTAACTACAACCACCATTACCACTACTACCTACTACTACTACTACTACTACTTCTTTTACTTCTACAATGATACTTCTCTCAGTGGTTTAAGGTGCACTGCAGATATTCCAAAATGAAACAAAAGACCCTGAAAAGGGTGTGGTATTGTGAAGTTTGAATACTCTTGGGACAGTAATGAAATGGTTTAATGATGAATAATGAGAGAGGAATTAATGTATAGGCATTCTCTATAAAGCAATTCTCTAAAATATTCATATGAATTAACTAAGGGTGTTAAAAGGGAAAAAAGCAGTAAACCTCTGAATTGAGGCACTCCTACAGAATTAAAGTGAATGTAGTTTGATTTGATTAGTCATAAGGAATTAAGTTTGATTGTTTTACACAATTTGTCAAAACTTTGAGAAGATTTTAAGCCCAAATGGGAAATCTTCTCCTCTTTGAGTATTGAGCAGGCCAGTAAAATCCCTTTTATGAATCACACATTAGTACTCTTCTTAAAAGTTGTGCAATATTAATAGAGAAAAAAAATTCCTGTCATTGTATACCATTCAATTGAAGTATCAGTCCATATCTGATCTCTGGACAGCAGTTTCTTTTGCCATCACCTCAAAGTAAGAAGCAGGATCTTGGAATATGTGGTACTAAAACCATGCAGAAGATACTTGTTTCTTAAAATGTTGGCTGCTCTTTCCTTCAGCCCTCACTGCCCTTGCTGACAACAGTCATCATCCACAGTATACAAATACCTGCATGGATGAAGCTTCTGTAGCACATACTTCAACCTCTAGTGCTAAATGTAGACTTGTGTTATTCCAATCACTTTTTTAAAAAAATTCAATTATATTTTATATTCAATTATATCAAAGGCAATCATCATCTCACTGATCTGCCTGATTGGTCTCAAGAAGTTGTGGCAAACATACTGAGGGAACAAATTATTATAGAAATGATATGTGCACTCTATAGCCATTTTCTATTTGGTCATGAAGATTGGGTAGACTGGGCAGATTAGGTTGATTGATCAATCAGCTGTCCAGATGAATAAAAAAGAGGGGAGGAAGAGCATTTTCCACAATCCCCTCTCCTCCATTCTCCTCATGCCTTCCACAGTGATCTGCAAGCCTGTGGGGTGTTGAGGTTAGAGGATCCTGAGAAATTTTGTAAATGGTGGAAGTGAAAGAAAATTGAACCCAATCTTGCATAACCTGTTGGAGGAACAGGCAAGGAACCAATACTTGTTAAATGCAAAGGCACTTCAGTGAGGATTAGATCATATCTTTAAAGTTGTTATGACTAGGGGTCCTAAGAGCTGCCTGAGTATTTGTCTGCCTGAAGTCTTGAATTGCTAAACCCTAAAATTTTACACAAAATACCTAATGCTTTCCTGGTGCTTATAAAAGATTTTCTTGATAAGTTGTATTCACCAAAGAAAATCTCAATCAGAAATCTTACCAGTCCTTAGCTTTCTGTGATGTACCAGGAACTATTTTCACCACCTTAATCTCAAGGCCTTGCATTTCATAATTTTTTGTGACATATATATGTAAATTTTTAATGAACATACCATGACGCAGACACTGAAGTATAGTACTTTCCTTTTGATCTGAGGTCCTTTTACTGTTCTGTAATAAATGGGATAGTTCATGAAATGCTAAAGTATGTCATGTTTCAAACTAGAGGAAGAGATGAGCAATATGCAAATGAACATATAGTAGTTCTTATATAAAAGTACAAAGAGTAGGTTGGATTATTTAAAAAAGGTCAAGAGAGTTGCATTCATTGTAATGCTGTACCTTTCTGGTGTGGACAAAAAAAAAAAAAAAGAATTATCTTGCCATTTTCTGGCCTTGTAGATTGAAGTCCTTCTGTGACCCTCTTGGGTCGTGGTATGTATTTGAAGAATTATGGGAGCATGGCAAACATAGTAGGTGCATTGTCCCAAATTCAGCTCCTTGCTACATTTTCAGACTGCATTTCATAATTTTTCCAGATCTATAGGATTTTTTTATATTAGAGCATTGAAGCAACAATTGTATTGCATCCTGAAATCAAGAGTGCAGGAGTTATGCCATTGTTTAATAGTGCAGTGTAAATTTATTGATGTGGGAGAAATATCTTAAGATATTTGGGATAGCTAATGCAAGAACTGGCATGATGCCTTCATTTTTTCTTTGTGTGGGCAATGATTATAGGTCTGCCTTTCTCTTTTTCTTCCTAAATTTAGTCAGGTGCTGTAGCATTTTGAAGCATTAATAGATCCCATGAAATCAGCTGCAAGCTGACATAATGGTATAAAGGATTTCATTAATACTGGTTTTATGGAAGATCATCTTTTCAAGGAATTAAAAGTCAATGATATCCTTGTATAAATTATGTTAATAGCAAATGCTATTAAACAGCATTAAAACACAACTCCACCACTATCTCAGAGCTCTTGCCATTTATCATGCTTGAAGATCCTTAGGAATTACATTTTTCTTTAAAGTTATGGGGTTTTTTTCCCAGGTTTTTTTCCCTGGGTTTATCTGGATGGTTGAGTCTGATCAAAGGGGCAAAGTTTTCTCTCTCACAAAATTTATTCACATGTATTTTATTCATGCACATTCTACAGCACAAGGGAAGGAAATTGAGGATGTGTTGTTCTTCTATTATTTCTAGAGTCCCATATTGTTGTTATTAGATTTCCAAAGTCCATACCTCTTGGGTGCATTCTCATGGCTACAGATCTTCACAGACTCCTTCTTCTGCACGCTGTTCTCTCTCAGGTCAGGGCTCCTCCAAGGCTCTCCCTGACTGGCTAACCCACCCCCTTTTATCCCAGTTATCTTCATTGGTCACAGCTGCAGCCCAATTAAGGACATCACAGCTGCAGCCCATCAAGGGCAACCGGGACCTCTGGGGCAAAGCCTCTATACACATATTCAAATACATTTCTTCTACTATAAGGATGGTTTACTTTTCTTTGTACAATCATGGGAATTTTTTTCAGTTTTTGGCTTATGAGGCTTCTCTGTGACTCTACTCTTTGATTCCCTCTGGAAAAATGTTCTTTCTGAAGTCACTGTCAGTTGTTTACACTTTGAAAAGTAGGCTCCCAAATGTGGAATTACAGAGATTAGCATTGCAATCACTGTAGCACAAAAGACACAATGTGATTAAAATCCTCCACTGAGAGGCCCAGAGAACTCATGTGAACCAGCCTAATGAAAATTAGAAAAACTTTTAAAAAGAGATCTCTTCAGCCTGCATTATCTCCTACTTATACGCAAAAATCCTGCGCAAGAACAAGAAGGGTCCCAGAAGGATGTTTCAAGAAAAGTTTTCAGTTTGGTTTTATAAAAGACTCATCTCGTTGTCAGTCTTCTTTCATTGGAAGCCATGCTTAAACAAAGCTTGGAACGTTTTGTGAAATGTAGCTAGGATATGGAAAACAAGAAAAAGGACTGTAAGCAGAGCACAAAGACTTAAACATGCAATTCTTACTTTGCAAGAGACTGTGTGTTGAAGTGGGCAAAAGGCCAATGTCTTATGGAGTTCTGGAGTAGATGGACTTACAACATGACCTGATAGTCCTATAGTGTGATGGTTTTTGTTTATTTTTCCTGTCACTATTCCAGTTCTACTTTGAGTTTGTCTTTGAAAAACAAAAACGAAGGAAAACAGAAAAAATACTTAGGGAAAATTTCAAGACTATATGAGGCAGAAGTTGGCCTTACCAGTATGCCTGGTCTTCCATCCTGTGATGCACCTGTTCTTGCTTAATTCCTCAAAAACATCTAGATTTAACTAGTGACCAAAATGTGAGTCCACATAGTGGAATTACCCAACTATTTCCCTTTACAGCAATTTTTTTGTTTCTTTTGAAAAGTGCTATATGATTTCGGACTTCCAGATAATATAGGAGACCCAGATAACCTTTTATTGTCCCATCTCTTGACTTTTATAAGTCTTGTCATCTTGTTGGGGAACTGGGCAAGTCACAGTTACACAGTAGAGAGCTGTGTATTCCTCTTTCTTACTCCTTTTCCAGATTTCAAAGTACCAAATTTAACAGAGGAAAAGTGCTTCCATCTCTTATATCAAAAATAATGCCCCAGAGTGAAATTATCACTTGGTTATAAAGGAAATTAATTTTTAAATCTGTATGGTGAGAGTTTGACTCTAGGTTATTTTTTAAGATTTGGTATAAACAGCAGTGGTGGGTTTGAAATCTCCTGTGCCCACAGGAAATCTAAGAGAAAAAGGAATGATGACAGATAAATTTTTATATTTTCTGATTCCTTAATCTTGTTTTATATCTGTACTATTTGGAACCGTTAAACAATATCTGTAAAAGCATTTATTGTATTGATATTCATTAAAGTAGTCAGGAAAGGACAACAAAGTGGAAGGACCACGCCTGTGAATGTTTCCAGTTTTCCATCTCTTTTGGAAATAATCATTTGGAGG